AAGAGAGGAGTAAGAAAATCTATGAAGAGTAGAATTACAAATCCAAAAACCATGACAGTTTGGGCCACACAGTGTAGTGGCATTCAGTACAGGTTCAACTGCATTATATACCACCACATAATAATGTGTAGCCATAATGATACTCCCCTCCTTCAAAAAATATTCATTATACCATGTTTCAGAAAGCAAGAAAGTTTGTGATATGTTATATAAAATCTTCTTATTCAAAATGGTAAGAAGTTTTGCGTTCATTTGAGAAGAAAGCCTAGGTATCTAGAAGATGCCCTTATACAAAACATCTTATTTCTCAAATAATAATTGAGTCTTCACCCCAGCTGAAACAAACATGTCATCAAATGCATATTATAGTACAGCACTTAGATGTGTAGATTACTTTTACCCTGCTGACCATCAGACAGAAAACATGGCTCTGGAAACCCAAGTTCAACCACCTAAAACCTCAGCTAAATAAAGGTATAAAACTCATTCAAAAAAGGCAAGCCTCTTATTAATCATAGAAATGAAGCTAAATAATACATGATGCCTTCATATGATGCAAGACACTCAACATCAGTCCTAGGTAATCTTACTTTTTGAAAAGGCTGAGTTTCCAATTGAAAGGCTAGAGTTTATATGACTCTCTTTTGAAAGACCAGTTTCCATAACAATTCAGTCCTTGAACAAAAAATGTGGACTAACAGAATGATAAGAGCATAAAGGACATATACAGAAATCTGTGGCCATCTTTTTTGCTTACATAGAAATACAATAAGCAACTAGTTCTGTCCAGTATTATGCTCTAAATTTAAAGAAATACACGTACGGAAACTTAACAAGAGGCCTCCTTGGTAACTTCGAATAACAACTAGGAAAACTATACTAGAACGGTTGAAAGTAAAATACAAAGAAGCTTCTAGAAAATTGAGCCTCTGCATCTGACTGCTGAAACATTCCTCCATTTCTAATGGGGATTTTTTCAATACCCCACACAAATTATTTTTGACTTGGCCAAGCAGGGAGTCTATTTTAAAGCTCCCAATGTGAAAATCATGGAAGCTCTGTAATCAAGTTTCCCACCTGCATCTCTTTTTAGGCACACAGTCCTTTATTCTCCGAAGGATGAAAACCTCTAGCATATAAAAACTTTGTTAAGCTGTCACTATCAATAGGGTAAAAAAAAAAAAACAACACAGTTGACAAAGAAGAAACAAATTGCATCTTCGAATAAGTTTTCTTGAAGCTCTTGTTAAAAGCTATAACCTCTGATGTTAACTAAATTTAACCCACTCTGACCCTCACGGTGCCCCTTAACCTTTTCTTTCTTCTGCTTCCTGTGGCTGCTGGAGAAAACTGGCCCAGTCCTTGGAAAAGCGTTCTCTGTCGCACACAAAGGCCCAGCCTTCCTGCTACCCCACCAAGAGGCCCTGCGTCACGGAGGGGTCAGCACCTGTGCAGAGAAGCAGGTGACAGTGGCCTGCCTGCATCCTTCCAGAGCAAGCTGCGAGCGCGTCTACCCTTCAACTACCACACTGCAGCTCTAGGCATTCATGCCACTGAAGTTTAGGTTTTCTTTGTGAATGCCGACTTTACACAAATTAACCTATTGCTGTTCAACTGACTGTAAAATTAGTAGATTTACTGTTGCAAAAGAAAAGAAAGAAGGAAAACTGAGAGCTTTCGCTTCCACTTTGGGGAGGTCACAGATGCGTCCCAGGCTGCCAACAAAGCAGCCTTTAAAACCTTTGCAGAGGACTCTAGCAACTTTCAGGGGGAAAGCAGCCAAACAATGACAGACGTGTACAGTGGGAAATCTTCCCTATACACTCAACATGCAAACTCCACATCCAAGGAACCTTCCAAAATGAGATAATTTGCCTTTAATTCCATTTCCCTCAAGGATGTGAAACCATGAGAGTACAAATTTGTCACTAATATTATATTTGCTGTCAGTCCTGCCTTTCTTAAACAGCCCTGTAACTAGAAGCTCTCATGTGGGTGTTGGAAAACATTAGCGGGTTTTATTTAAAATGTAAAACACTAATAACCTGCTCCTGTTTTGCTCTGATTTACACAGTAGTAAGCACTGTACGTTTTGTAGGGTTTCCTGTACTAGCTCTTTATATTTCTGCATGATGTCCTATGATAGTAATGGGAATTATTTTCAAGTGTTTCAAAACGACCAAAGTTAACTGAATCACCCCAAAACCCTATATCTTTGAAGTGGAAACACATGGCCCTTGTTTTTCCAAAGACTTTTGAACCCATTTTCTGCTTCATTAAGTTGCACGAGGGACTTTTCACAGAAGATAAATAGACCTTCTGTACATAAATATTCTTTTATTTTGCAGACATGAAAGCTTTTTAAAAAAATCATAACAATATGTCATTCATTTTAGATAATTTTGCTCATTCACAACCACCATCATGTTTTAATAATTGCTGCCATCGTTTTTTGACAACAGAAATGATTAATCTGGAGTCTAATGTTGTGGGAAATCTTACATATGATAAAGAAACATATTCTGAATCTAATAATAGTTTGAGAGTACACCAAGGGTTTTAACACAGATGTGGTCACCAGATGTTCTCCAGCTCCTCTGGGGAAACAGCATAAGTAACCACATGATGGATTTAGGTTACTTAAAGGAAAAGATTCCTAAGTCCTTTGAAACATTGACGTGAGCTACCGATGGAGGGCTAAATCTCCTTGCCTGGAGTTTTCTTTTTTTTTTTTTTTTTAAGTGTATGGATGTTTACATGTTTGGGATGGATTAATCACAGTTCTGCCTGAAGACGAATGGTCGAGATTTGGTAAGAAGGCTTCCAGCTTTCATGTTACAATAATAGACACACAGGATTGGGCTGAGAGTGTCTTCAGGAGGTTTTTGATGAGGTACCTCACACTCAGCCAGAGCCCCTTGTACACCTTGCTTTCTGTGTCCCTTTTGACAAGTTTGTAAACACAAACTCAGGAGAGCATGGATCCTCTCAGCTATGATGCTGTGATGAGAAGCTGCTGCCATTTCAGACAACTGCCCTCAGCTAGATTTAGTGGGCACTGCACAGGCTCTCACACACAGCAGCCTTCACCTCCCCTATTGCAGCCAAACTGCCCTAGTAAGAGCTTACAACCTAATGGAGGAGGGTGTACATAAATTAACTATGATCCAGTGACAACTACTTCTGGAAGAAGGTGCTGAATATTTGAACGCACACAGGCTCTGCCACATCTACGTAACTTCAAACACAACCTAGGACTTTGAGGAGTAAAGATTAGCTTCTTGAAGTAATTGCTGCAGTCATTGTGGCATCATGAAGTCACAGCCCAGTGTTAATAACTTTTTAAAGAAATCACTCATAAGATAATTACTTTGTGGAACAGATATATTGAACCTCAATGACCTCAGGCTAAGCCACTGCGTCTTACTAGTCTCCTGGTTTCGGAAGGTTCCCTCCATGCCAGCGGAAAGAGAGAGGACTTTGAAAGCCAGCAGTCAAGGAGAAGGACAGAATATTTCCTTTAATGCTTCATCAGAGTGAAACGCCACAACAGGCATTGTGTGAGAAAATGTGCGTTCAGGGACCAACCACAGAAATGAACACGGAAATTACATTGCGGTGGAAAATGTAGGCGTTTTAGAGTCCCCAGGATTTGAGTCTTCTTGAGTTATATTTTCATATTTTGGGATTTTTTTTTTGTAAATTATGGGTAGAAACAATAACAATTAAGAAAGTTCTATACACTTCTAAGAGTCCTCTTCTATGCACATACTGAACCAGACAGTTTACAGAGAGTTTGAGGCACAGTACTACTACTTCCCCAAACCAAAGGTGCCTTAGCAGATTCAGGCCATAAATATAGGAAAGGGTCCTGGAAGAGCCAGTTGCCTGCTTTACTATCTTTACTCAAGAGTCTGCAAAGTCTGCCACCACGGAGCTGAACCCCAGGCTCTCAATGACACATTAAAAGCTGCTAGGTCCCATTTCAGCTGGAGGTCAAAGCCGAGTTCAAGGGAAGAGATGAAAAAAAAAAAAAAACGGCCTGTATCTGAGGGCATGTCTATAAGGCCCACCTCCTTTCTGCTCATCTCCTTCCAGGAACACTAAAGCATCTCCTCTTGTCGAGACATCTGACAAGGGCAGTCTAGAAAATTTCCCAATCATCCACTCTGGACATGCCTTCAAAGAGGGGCTACAAACCGGATGCTGGCAGGGAGTTCCAGCTGCCAATGATCGATCACCTGGTGTGAATTTATTCAAATCATAATCTTACCGAATTTCAATCCTTGGTTTGGGTATTAAGCTCTTCAATCAATTTTACACATTTCACTTAACATCTTCCCGGACTTGTAACTCTGCTTCACTCTACTTTAGTGAGGCAGCGAAAGGAACATTTAGCCTTCAGAGCACCAACTGTGGCACCAGGCTGCCTGGGTTTTTTTATTCTTGATTCTCTACTACTTGTGCGTCCCTGGGCAAATTACTTAACTTCTTTATGCTTCAGCTCCCTCATCTGTGACATGGGGTAATAACGCTGTCTTGAGGATTAAATGACTTGTAGAAGTAAAACCCTTACAACAGCGCCTGGCAGGCACGTAGGTAAATGCCATAAATGCTGCACTTACACTAGTTGAGCACCTACCATTTCCCAAGGTATTGTGCTAGTCACTCTATTCCCACATCTACACTAAACAAACTTGTATCTTGGTATTAAGGAATAATTGAGGCAGAATAAAATGAATCTCTAATTCTTGTTTAACTTGGAAATGGTCACCACGCAAATACTAACCTTGGACTTTGGGTCATACACACGAGTTGTGTTTATGAAATACTTTACTGAACATTAAGAGTATGTAATTCAACAAAGAAAACGTTTATGAAACCTCAAGACCTAGCGGGAACGCAGCCATACCGAGGTTGGCGTCAACGTAACGTACCCAGAAGAGCCCCTCCGACTGCCGCAAACTCGGCACAGCAGCCTTCTGCCCACCTGCGGAGTGGCAGAAACCTCCTCGCGCCCTCTGCACTTTCTGTCGGAGGAATTTATCCTGCCAACCGGCAAGGCGCTCCTCCCCCACGTTACCGTTCCTTTAAAAGACGCGGGTCGAAGCCCCGCCCACTACGGAAAACGAAGAGGTCTCACGGCGGAGCCCGATTACCGGCTCCTTCTGCCAGACGTTGTTAATCGTCAGCCCCGGTACTGGTAAAGGTACAGGCGAGGGGCGCTGAGCGGGGAAGGGGACCTGCGGCGGGAGGACGTGGTCTTAGGGGCCTGCCTGTGGAGGAAACGACATTGCGCTCGGCCGTGTCCCTGGAAGGTCAGTGCCACCCATGCCGCTGGGCGGAGCGCAGAGAGGCTCCGCAGGCCCTGCCGTGGGGTCGGGGATTCGGCCAGGTTCTAAGGCTGTCTTCGGGCCCTAGCCGCTAGTCTAGGTAGCCCGCGGCCGCAAGACAAGACCCGGCGCCGGTCTCTGCGTCCCCGGGACCTTCCGCCCCGCCATCCCGGCGCGCGCACGCACGCCCTACGTCCCTGGGCCCCTTCTCAGGCTGAGGCGCGCCGTCGGCCCCCTTCCGGGGTGGGCGTGGCCGCCGCTGATGCACGTGACCGGGGCGCTCGGCTCGCAGCGCTCCCTGCGCCCGGGTACCTGGTTTCTGCGCCGGAGCGGGCAAGACCGGCCGAACTCTTTCCCTCTGCAGCCTCCGGAGGAGGCCTTGGTGAGGAAGGTCGCGAGTGGATGTGGGATTTTCTTTTTTTCCCATTTGTCGTTTGGTAGGCTCCATATGTATATGTATGTATAAGACTCCTGAAAGAAAGAAAGACGTTTTCTCGCTGAAAAGCCGCAGTTCCGAGTACATGTTATGAATGGCCTCAATCTAAGAAAGTACATAGAGTGGAGGCGGTTCTGGCTCCAATAAATTGACTACTATTTATTGTGCCAGGCACAGTACAGTAAAGGATAAATCAGATTCGTTCCTTCAGAGAAATTATCGTCTAGTGAGGGAGAAATAGTCATAAAGTAATCACAAAATTATAATTGTGCCGTAAAGGAAAGAGAAACTATACTATGGAAGCATTTAATGCTGAGCTCAACATGTAATGTTGACATGTGGGGGTGGGGGGCGGGAGTAGGGGGAGATCGGCTTAGTTTGGGAGGTAATCAGAAGAATTCCCTGAGAGAGAGAGCGCTAGGCAATGATATGGTGTTCCCTAAACCGAGGGGAAGAGCATTTCAAGAATCTGAAAGGCTAGTGTGGCTTAGGCAGGAAGGAAGTTTGGTATAGAACGAGGCTGGAGAGGTGGGAACGGTCTTGTGGCCTCATGAAAGAAGTTGGTCTTTAATCGCAGGGCAGTTTAAGGTGGGGAGGGCACTGAGTGTGGAGACAGCAGTGCAGAGGGGGGAATTGATTACAGAATTCCAGTGTGGTGTAGGAGCCTAGTCAGGAGACTAATGGGAAGCCAAACGATATGAAGATGTCTTATACTAGGGTGGTGGCAGTGGATATGGAGAGAAGTGGATAGATTGGAGTGGTATTAGGAAATAAAATTGATGAGACCTGGTGTTGAATTAGCTGTGAGAGTGAGGGAGAGCAGAAGCAGAAAAGACTACAGTGGTCTGGATGGACCGTGATGCTGGTCACTGAGATAGGGAGTTCTGGCAGGGTAGATGACCATTTAGAAGATTAATGTACAGGAAGAAGTCCAAATTTTCATATTGAGTCTTTAGCTCTGGATTTAAAAGCTTTTTAAAAAATATTTTCTGGATGATTTTTAAGTTATTTCAGTAAAATAACTAAAAAGTAAAATAAATTAAAAATTTTAAAGCTAAGGAAATGTGGTTAAGTAATTGGCCAAAGATGTATGTTGGCTGTTTCCACTGTTGTAAATCAGTGTTCTGTTTCTTAACGAGCCAACTTCGGTATGGAGAGTACTTTGTGCTCCTTGTGGAAAAGCAAAACCAGAGCCGAGGAAGAGCATCACGAAGGCTTCAGGACCACGGTGCAGTCCTATGGGATTAAGACTGCACAACCCTATGTAGAATGTGGTGGATGGGACAGTTTGCAGGTCTGCAGGCAGAAGTAAGGACTTTGTGCAACTCCTTTGGAAAGTGTGGGAAAGGATTCTTAAAGTCATAGGATTTGGCAAAATTAATTTCACAAATATTTAATACACTAGAATCTATGTAACTTTGATCCAGCCTCCCAGGAAAAACTAGATATCAATACGAGCTGGTGAATATCAGCCATATGAGAAAGGCAGTGAGTGAACAAATAAGAGAAGTTATTTTCATCTTTTCAGTCTACATAGTTTCAAAATGCATGCAAGCAATTTAATTTCTTACAGGACAGGACTCCCTCATAACCACATACTTAAACCATGTTCCGGGAAGTTTCCTTACAAATAGATTATCAGTACCTCCTGAAGAGGTAATGCAGAATAGTGTACCATAAGGGGATGCAGCTGTCCTTTGGAGCAGGAATCATTTGGTCCCTTTTTTTTACTATGAGAATGTTCACAGCCGCTTTATTTATAATAGCGAAAAACTAAGAATAGCGTAAGTGTTCATCAGCAGGAAACTGGATTTAAAAATTGTGAGATACTCATATACTGGGACAATTCTCAGAAATAAAAAGGAGCAAACTATTGCTACATACAGCAACATGGATGAATCTCAAAAACATGCTGAGATGCCTTCTAACAAAGAGTACATACTGTTTGAGTCCGTTTATATGAACTCTTAGGACACAGTGCGATGGGAAAAGATCAAAACAGTCATTGCCTCTGGATGGGGATGGAGATTGACTTGGAAGAGGCATGAGGGAACTTCCTGGGGTGATGGTAATATTCTACAGGTTGATAGGAGTTTTGGTTACAGAGGCATTTGTACTTGTCAAAACTAATCAATCAAATGATATGCTTGAGATTTGTACATTTCATTGTGTGTAAATTTTGCCTCAAAAGAAAGTGAAAAGAATGGTAGACCAATACTGAACTCTAGTTAATGATATGCGTGCTGAAGTATTTGAGGATGAAGTGTACCAATATCTGCAGCTTACTTTGAAACGTATCAAAACATAAATAAAATGGATGGAAAGAAAAATAGATGGGTAGATGAAGCAAGGATAGCAACATGTAGAGTCTAGGTGAATGGGTATTGGGCTGTTCACTCTACATAATTTTTCAACTTTTCTGTATATTTAAACGTTTTCATAATAAAAGTTGGGGAAAATAGTCCGCAAAGAATATTGTTCATTTTAGACAACTGAAGACTAACATGAAAATATAAAAAACTCAGCTCTAAGCTCACCTGAAATACACAGCATGTGGAAGTAGCCACATGTTTGTTTCCTAATTCCCCACTTTATGGCTTAATATTTAAATCATTTCAATTTTTTATGGAATATGTAGATCAAACATTAAAATTACTCTGTGTTGTGTGCATTGGAATAATGCAATTGACATTTTTTCTTACATTATCCTAGGAAAGTGAGTGATGATACCAAAGAGGTCCAAGAAGAGGAATGAGGACTGAAAGTAGCAGGAAATGCTAAAAGAGGATACAGCACAGAGGAGGAAAGGGGCTTTGGGGACATTTCTCAGTTTCTCCTCCAGTGCTTGGAGAATATGGAGTTTTTCAGTGATCCAATCTCGAGTAAATAAAGAACAACAACAAAGAAATTATGTGTTTCTTTCTAGAATGTGGAGTTGCCTGCTGAGTTTAAAACTGCTAATAGAGGGGCCGGCCCTGCAGCTGAGCGGTTAAGTGCGCGCGCTCCGCTACTGGTGGCCCGGGTTCGGATCCCGGGTGCGCACCGTCGCACTGCTTCTCCGGCCATGCTGAGGCAGTGTCCCACATACAGCAACTAGAAGGATGTGCAACTGTGACATACAACTATCTACTGGGGCTTTGGGGAAAAAAAAAAAGGAGGAGGATTGGCAATAGATGTTAGCTCAGAGCCGGTCTTCCTCAGCAAAATAAAAGAGGAGGATTAGCATGGATGTTAGCTCAGGGCTGATCTTCCTCACAAAAAAAAAAAAACCTGCTAATAGATGCAGACTCATGCTGCATAGCATGATTTCGATAAGGTCTGAATAATCGTCACATCAGAAATGGATATCTCCTACTATAAAATTATGCATTATAAGTAACTGACTTTAAGATAATTGGCTTTTAAAATATTTTCGGATGTCTCAGAAAGGATAGTTTTGGGAGTGAGAGTGATTAAATGTATAATATTTTCATAAGAACGTAAGCATTTTGATTTTGATTTAGACTACTGGTGCATTCAGCCTATTTATTTGACAGAGGTATCAAAGACATTTCATCAGAGAAGTTTTATCAGAGAACATGGCTTCCTATTTTGCATCAACCTTGAAAGGCTAAAGGTAATACCAGATACCCTAGCTTGAAACCACTTACATTATAATGTTTTCTTACTCATTTTCTTATGTCATCTTTTTTGGGGAGTCCTGACTCAGTGGTTCTTATCAGGAGATGGGCAAAGAAATGGCTCTTGTTTTGAAAAAGCATCCCCAGGTGGTGCTGCTAGGCCTCTGGTTTCTGAGAACCACTACTATAAAGTAGGCGTGTTAGGGGCCGGCCCCGTGGCTTAGCGGTTATGTGCTCACGCTCCGCTGCTGGCAGCCCGGGTTCGGATCCCAGGTGCGCACCGACGCACCGCTTCTCCGGCCGTGCTGGGGCCGCGTCCCACGTACAGCAACTAGAAGGATGTGCAGCTATGACATACAACTATCTACTGGGGCTTTGGGGGGAAAAAAAATAAAATTATAAAAAAAAAAAATAGACATGTTAACTTTTAACTGTTAGCGAAAAATTGTACAAGTTCTGCTTCAAACCGAAACCATCACCATTTATGATGGTGTGACACTTTTAGACTTCAGTGTGATGAAAACTAGATGGAGAAATAAAAGCGATTTGCATTACAAAAAAATCAGAATTTTAAATTTGTAAACTTCCTTAGACATAAGCTTCACTTAGACGTAGGCTTGAAACTAATGAAGAGAATATTTTTTAGAGATGTATAAAGCCAGAATGCCAATTTACTAAATTATGGTGAAATATATAACTTATACAGACTTTTTCCTCCCTGTATGATGTTGATTCTTTTTTAAAAAACTTTTTAATTATTAAAAAAATTTAAATATACAGAAAAGTTGAAAGACTAATAACTAACCACCCATATACCTAGATTCAACAAATGTTGCCATAACTGCATTTATATTTTCTGCCAAGCCATTTCAAAGTAAGTGGCAAATGTCATGACACCCTCCCCTCGATATTTTAGCATTCCTTTCCTGAGAATGCCATTTTTGCGCCTAAGAAACTCAACCACACTTCTCTGATAGTATCTAATCCTTTATGAATCTAGTCCATATTCAGATATCCCCCTTTATCCCAACATGTTTTTTTAAAAGCTTTTTTCAAACAATATTGTATTTTACAACTATGGCTCCTTAGTCTTTTTTTTGTGTATGTGTGTGTGTGAGGAAGGTCAGCCCTGAGCTAACATCCATGCTAATCCTCCTCTTTTTGCTGAGGAAGACCAGCTCTGAGCTAACATCTATTGCCAATCCTCCTCCTTTTTTTTCTTTTCCCCCCTCAAAGCCCCAGTAGATAGTTGTATGTCATAGTTGCACATGCTTCTAGTTGCTGTATGTGGGGACACGGCCTCAGCATGGCCGGACAAGCGGTGCGTCGGGGCGCGCCGAGATCGGAACCCGGGTGGCCAGCAGCGGAGCGCGCGCACTTAACCGCTAAGCCATGGGGCCGGCCCTCCTTAGTCTTTTTATTCAAGAATAGCCTCTGCCCCCTCCCTTTTTGTTCCCAGTGACACTGACTCTTTTAAGACACCAAGCCAGTTGTCACATCCCACAGTCTGTGTTTGTCAGATTGTTTCCTTGGGGTGTCATCTGATTTGTTCTTTTCTGAGTCTGGCCCTTGTGTTCGTTGGACACTGGAAGCTAGGTCTAGAGGCTGGAGCAGGTTCAGGTTAAGCCTTTTTGGCAGGACTGCTTCACAGAAGGCGCCGGACATGTGCCACAGCCCAGGAGGAGGCTGTGCTAGGGTGTCAGGTTGTCCTGTCGGGAGGCTGAGCCTGACCTCCGGTTACGAGAGTGACAGCTGGAGTGTGTTTCTCCTGTTTCAGTTTGGAAGTGATCCTTGGGTCTCTGTTTACACCACATGAATTCCTTGTTTCCCCATCAGCTTTTTGCCTAATGACGTTTGCATCCATCCTTGCCTGAACCAGTGATGTGATTGGAGGTAGCAAAATGGTGATTTTTAAATTGCTTTTACTTTTCTTCTCCATTTATTAGCAAGCATTCTCCTCTAAAGAAGGGCTTTTCTTCATCATCTGGGGTTGATTACAGTTCTTCCTAAAAAGGTAGGATAAGTGCTTAGTTCTTTTTGTTTAATTACCCATTTTCACGGTAAGGAGTCAGGGTAGTAGTCACATACAGGCAAATGATCTTTCTTTTTTATAGATTTTTGCATATTCAGAGTATTGAAATGAATTTCAGTCATTATTCATTAATGTTTAAATTATCACATTTACATGTCAACAAACACAATTGTAATACTGTCAGGGAAATCTGAAAACTGGATATTTGATGCTATAAAGAAATGGTTATTAGTTGGGATAATGTTATTGTGGTTATTAAAAAGATAAAAGAGACCTTACCTCTTAGAGATGACATTCAGAAGTGTTTGTTGGTGGGATCGGATTGCTTTGAAATGGTTCGTGGATGGTGGGGGAGGACGGTAGTCTAGGGGTGGAGATGAAACCAGTTAGGTCACGTGCCGTTAGTGAGGAAGCTGAGTGATGGGTGCTGAGGCTTTATCACACGAGTCTTTCTGTACATGTTTGAAAAGTCTGCCTAATAAAAAGTTTTTTAATTGTTTGAATTTGTGTTATTTGCAATTTAAATTTAATTATCTCGGGTTTTTTCTTAACTTTGTGTTTATATTTTTTTCCAAGAAATGCTTATTTTGAAGAAACGTATATATCTTCAACTTTGTTGATTTAAAGCCAAAATTTAGCTTCTATTGAAGCTTAACTGCTATGTAAGTCAAGAAAATTTAAAGCTTTTAAAATCTGAATAATGGTAAAGAACTTTTTTAAAAAACATAGTTGCAGTATTTTTCTACTCTTTACCTTTTCCTCTTCTTGGAAAGTGTTTTTAAAGCTTTAAAAAATTCTACATCATTTTTCTGAAATAGTTTTTATTTTGTAAATAAATACAATTTTTTTATTAGTATAAAAAATACTTCCTCCTTGGGGCCGGCCCGGTGGCGTAGCAATTAAGTACATGCTCTGCTGTGGCAGCCCGGGGTTCAGATCCTGGGTGTGGACATATGCACCACTTGTCAAGTCATGCTGTGGCGGCGTCCCATATAGAGTGGAGGAAAATGGACACGGAGGTTAGCCCAGGGCCAGTCTTTCTCAGCAAAAAGAGGAGGATTGGTGACAGACGTTAGCTCAGGACTAATCTTCCTCACAAAAAAATTTAAAAAAAAATACTTCCTCCTTACAAAAAATTTGTGAAATAACAATAATTGGGAAGAATAGGAAAAAAAATCACTTGTATCTTCAACCTCAAATAAGCAGGGTTTTCATAAATTTCTTTTCATTTGTTTCCTATGCCTAGTTTGTTTATTTGCTTACTTCTTTTTAAAAAAATCCTACATTTTGAATAATATTTTTCATTTTAACGTGTTAATAATTCTTTACACAGGGCACATTAGCTTTCGTCCATAACTGCTAGTTTCGTCCTAACTCAGTGAAATTTGAGACTTGATGCTGCTACTGTTTTTCCCATGATACATGGAAAAAGGTTTTCTCTGGTCTCTTCAGACTTTTCTGCTTTTTTTGGTTTGGAGGCTCCTTCCACCAACAAATACCTGACTGTTTTTTATTGAACGGTAAGTATCTCAGCTGTTTATAAAGTGTAGTTCAGGGGCCGGCCTGGTGGCACAAGCGGTTAAGTGCTCGCGCTCCGCTGCGGCGGCCCGGGGTTCGCCGGTTCGGATCCTGGGCGCGCACCCGATGCACCGCTTGTCAAGCCATGCTGTGCCGGTGTCCCATATAAAGTGGAGGAAGATGGGCACGGATGTTAGCCCTGGGCCAGTCTTCCTCAGCAAAAAGAGGAGGATTGGCAGATGTTAGCTCAGGGCTGATATTCCTCACAAAAAACAAAAAGAAACAAAAGAAAAAAGTGTAGTTCATTCCCACCTTAGAGCCTTTACAACATCTGCAGCTGGAGTCCCCAGCCAATGAATGACTAAAATTGATTCATCTCATTCACTGTGAATGAAACATCTGGCCATAGATCTCACTGAGGTTGGTGGACATTTGAAATGCCAGCTAGATATGTGGAGAGTGTGGTTCTCCAGCATTGTGTGTATTGGTGGGGAATGAATACATCTCTGCATCTGATAGACCCAGAGGTTAAATGCCAGTGGACACTGTTGTCCTTCCTGGCTGTTTCCTTTGGCTCGTTCACTCATTCTACATGTACATACTGAGCCAGGCTCTCGGCTCTCGTGTTTGGAACACAGCAGTGAACAAAATGGACAGCTACATTTTCTCACAAAGCTTACATTCTAGTGAGTACAGATTGTGAACCTGTGTAAATAAATATATAATATGTCAGGCAGTGGTGTTTTTTAAAAGGCGAGGTAATGGGTTTGAAAGTGATGGGGTGTGCTGTTTTATAAAGAGTGGGCAGGGAAGGCCTTGCTGAGTGGTCATGTTTGAGCAGAGACCTGAAGTAAATGAACTGTGCAGGCTGTCTGAGGGAAGGGAACTTCTGGGTGCAAGGACCCAGAGGAGGGGTGTTCTCAGTGTCTATAAGGAACAGGAAGGAGGCCAGTGAGGTTGGGACAGAGTGAGCCTGAGGAAGTGGGGAAGATGCTGTGGGCAGAGGTTGGGGGTGGGGGGCGGGTCACAGAGGGCCCTGTAGGTGCTTGCCTGGGCTTGGCTTCTACCCTGAGTGAGATGGGAGCCAGTGGGGGCTTGTCAACAGAGGAGGGGCGTGATCTGACTTATACATTTTAAAAGGATCACTGTGTGCTTTGTGGGTAATAAGTTAGAGGGGGGCAAGGCCAGAAGCTGGGAGAGCAGTCAGGAGGCTATTACTGTAGTCCAGGTGAGAGAGGATGGCATTTTTGGAGCAGGGTGATAGCAATGGAAAAGGTGAGAAGTGGTTGGATCCTGGATATTTTTAGAGGTTGAACAATAGGATCTGCCGATAAACTGCTAAGAGAAGAAGAAGAGTCAAGGAGAACTTTGCTATTTTTGGCCTGAGCACCTGGAAAGATGTCATTATATGAGACAGGGAAGACTGAGGGAGGAGCAAGTATAGGGTGGAAGGTTGGGAATTCAGTCTTGGCCATGTCAGCCTTTGAGTGACTATCAGATATCTAAGTGGAGAGGTGTTATGAGAGGTTCGGGGATTCGATCAGAGACGTAAAAGAAACTTTCCACTCCAAACAAATGGACCGAAGGTATATTTTATTATATAGATAGTAAAGGCGATAGTCTGCAAACAGATCCGAATAGGTCAAATAATAAGAGGGAAAAAACACCAGCTCGACTGGAAAGGGAAAACATCCACACCGGCTGAGATAGCAGCAGATCCGAATAGGTCATATAATAAGAGGGAAAAACATCAGATCAATCGGAAAGGGAAACACCAGATCAACTGAAGGGAAATGACACAAATCAACCGGAAAGAGAAACACCAGGTTGACCGAAAAGAGAACACGTCAAATCAGTTACTTCACAGTAAATCAATTACTCACAACATCCACGCCCCACTGCCGGGAGAGTCCTGTCAATCGACACGGCTGGGCAAGGATCACACGTCCTGGGCAAGGCGTCCCTTCCACAGGTGGAACTCTCACCGGGTCTCAGTCTCCAGCAGTTTATATAAGCAGTTACAGAGTTTGCAGAGCAAGCATCTAGTGTTCCCATGCACCAATGGTTATCAGTGGCGTACGTGCACTGAGCCCCTTGGCTAACGTCCCAGCCCAGTAGTTGTGTACGTGCATTGTTCTCTTTGGTTATCGTCTCAGCCCGGCACAGATGGCCAGTCCATCCCGTGCTACCACGCTCCAAGAGCCTTGAAATGTTACAACTTGCAACTCTCTCCGTGGGAGAAGGGCCAGTTCTCACCAAGCAGAAAGCAGCTTTTATATTTCTTTTTGTGCTGGTGGCTGTAGGTCAGTGGAGCAGTCAAACATGGCTGTGCTCATGTCAAGACAAGAGGTTGGGTAGCCAATTAACTCTACAAGTTTGCAGCTCAGAGGAGAGGTTGGAGCCAGAGCAATAAATTTGGGTATTAATAAGCTAGGTAAGGAGGGATGTGAGAATATACACATTCTGTCACTTTCTATTCAGTTTACTGTGCCTCTTTTTCCTTCACATCATTTGTCAACAGGGGGCATGAGGGGTGGTTATGGGCAGGGTCAGTGGGTTGTCCAGCCCGGTCAGATCAAAGCTAGGGACAAGAGGGAATTTCCAGTTTTAACCAACACTGCTGGTGATTTTCACGCAGGTGACCCTGAGGCTGTTGTTTGAGAAGCACTGCTTGAGGCACCTCGTCCTTCCCTCTTTCATCTGCGGCAGGGCACACCTCTCTGAGCTCGTGGTTCGCCAGTGTTTCTCAGCAAACCCTGGAGGAGATGACTGAGTCCTCTCGTCACTCCTTCAGCCTGCGCTTCTAAGCTTTACCTAACTCGTGAATGGAAGGAGAGAGACACATTATGGTAGAGAAGCAGCTGAAAAGCCAAAGTGCCACTTACGAGTGCAGCATTATAACCGCGCAGTAAAACCAGTATCGTGGTGTGTGCCTACCGCTTAGTTCACACTTGGTGGTAATGCCTTCCTCACCTTGTGAGTGGTCCGTATAGTCCGTGAGGTCAGCACTTTGAGTACTGTCAGGGTATTTCCTTTCTGCGAGTCTCAGCTAGTCCTTCCAGTGGGTCAGCTTCCTTCATGGAGAGTCCCCTCTCCCATAGTAGTGCTCTATCAGATATATCGATAAATTCTTAGCAGTTAATGATATTAAAAGTTTATGAATTAGTGTTTATGAATCACCAAGGATTTTGTATACTGCATTGTCCTTAATAAACCTTTAGGATGATACTTGCTTTTGGAGTTGGCACTGCAAGATCCATGAGAAGTAGAGTCAAATGAGATAATATTAGGGGAAGAAAAAAATTGGAAAACAAAAGCACTGTGCAAATATGGTTTATCCTAACAATAATTTTTACTGGGGACAGTCACCATGAGTTAGTGTGACTGTGGTTGCTTGCTAGTCCATGTTATTGGTGTGTTACCAAACCCAAACACGGGTTCGTTTATCTGCCGCATGGTAGGGCCAATAAAGAAAAAAACTGAAACACGAGGCTTGTGGCAAGGAAAGAGGTTTACTATCGAAAGGCAGCCAGATGAGGAGAAAGGAGTTAGTTAGAACTCCGATCCACCTCCTTGAAGGTAAAAAGGTAGTGGTTTTTATCTGGGGTTTTAGGTAGGGGAAGGGGAGCATGTGGCTGTGCTGGTTGGCACCCTCCCACCAGCCTGTGTTTGGCCTGGAAGACTGGATTTCTTTTCCCTTGACTGTCTGGACTTTTCTGGTTAGTTTTCATCTACAGCCTGTGTCTGGCCTTGTGAGGCTGAATCTTGATGTCTGGACCTTAACTTCCTGGGAAAGACAGCTCAGTCATATACTAAGGAGGGACAGAAAGACCTGGTTAGTTTTAAACAACAGTTGATTATGCTGAATATGCACAGCTGTGGTTAGCAAAACTTATCTCAAAGTTTTTGTTCTCTTCTTCTAGCCCAGGGAAGATTTTTTAACCTCTTCATCCTCAGTTTCGGGTGAAAATTTCCTGTGCACGGATCTATAACATTCACAGATGACATAGTCCCTACAGCCTCACACACGCTCTCCATGTACCATAATATCAGACCATGGGAATAAATGATTGAGTTTTAATCAACTTTTCTCCCTACTTTTTAGGATGGCTGCTCTTTTTCTAAAGAGGTTAACATTACAAACCGTAAAGACTGAAAATAATTACATTAGAAGATGTTTTGGTAAATACGTTGTGCAAGAGGCGGCACCAGCACAGTTGTCCCTTATTGCTTCTGCCCCAAGACTGTCCTACCTGATTCATGCAAAAGCTTTTAGTAGTGTTGAAGACACCCAGGATGGAAGAAAAAAGAAAAAAAGGAGTGAAACAGATTTTAGTAATGTTGGAAGGAAAATTAGTGAGCGAATTATTCATGTACTTGATGAGAAGGGCAATGATTTGGGGAACATGCACCGAGCAAATGTGATTCGACTCATGGACGAGCGAGACCTGAGGCTTGTTAAAAGGAACACCAGTGCAGAGCCTCCAGAGTACCAGCTCATGACCGGAGTCCAGATTCACGAAGAGCGGATGCGACTGAGAGAGAGGGAAAAGGCCAGACCTACACCAGGTGGGTATTTTGCTGTGTGTTCCCTTAGGACTACACATCCACAGTTAAATCTACCATTTGCCAAGGTGCCTTGGGACAGTAGGGAAGTGAAAAACTGGAAAATTCAGTTTCACTTCTGTTTCCAATGTCTTTTTTTCATCTCTCATTTCCATTCTTCTTTTTTTCTTTTTTCCTTGATACCCTGTGTCCAGCATCTCTTCCTTTAAACCTTCGTTAAATGAGGGAAAAACAAGGTAAACACCACGAAAATGATGGGCTCTCTTCTCCCCTGGTCCTTAGCTTTGTCTCCTTGTGCCGGGGAATGTGGAGTAACTGACAGGTGTAATGAAACGAGACTTGGACGAGATGGATTCAAGTTCCTGTTCCTGTCCTGGGCCACTCATTTACCCTCTTCCTTTATTTTTTCATCTCTAAAGTGGAGGTGTTTGGTTAACTACGTGGAAGCAGTTTCTAAACTCTAATAGAGCATCTCCGGGCCCAAGTATTTGTTACAATATTGGTAGTGACACTCATTTACATATTTTGCCATTCAGCTTACAAAGGTCTTGTCATTTAAACCTTATAGAAGCTATGAATTGGATATTAAGTGAAGATGTTTGTTTTTCATGATTCCTAATAAGTGCTGATCATTATGAAAGATTGTTTTATGGAAAATGCACTGGGACAGGGGTCAGAAGACTGGTCCCAGAGCTGCCACAGTGAGGTTGTGTGTCTTGAGAAAATCACACATTATCTGTGGCTCAGTTTTGTGACACCACATTTAACAACAAGGATGTAGCCTGGCAAACAAAATATTCAGAAGAGGCCACCCAGGGTGATAAGGACATCAAACTATGTCACAGAAAAAAAAGTTAAACAGCCTGGAGAAGCCACATTGCTGTATTCACAGACGGTTGAAGGGCTAACCTGTTAAATTCATTATTTTGTTCTGATAGAGAACTAGGACCAACTGGTAGGAGCTGTAAGGAAGCAAGGATGTGTTGATAAAAGAACTCTTTTTTAGAAAAAATTATTTTGGAAATTAAAAAGTATCCAGAAAATATAATAGTAAACACCTGTTACCCACCATCCAAAATAAACAAGTGTTAACATTGTCATAATTTCAGATTTTTTAAACAAAATACAACATTACAGAAAAGTTGAAGTTCCCTTCTCCTGGTCCATCCTCCCTCCCCTGCTCACTCTCAGGGATCAGGGTGTAGATCCAGTCCATGTTGTTAAACTCCAGTTACTTACAGATGTATTCATAAACAGTATTTAGGATGATTTTGGGCATAAAAATTATAAATGGCACAATGTTGTTTACCAGAGCTATGTTTATATAATAGTTATAGCTATTTCTTATAATTACTAAATGACATTTCATCATAAGAATATACCATAGCTTTGTTAGTCCGTTTCCACGGACATTGGGCTGGTTTCCAGTATTTCATTGTTATGAACAATGAACATATCTGTCAGTGTCTCCTTGTGTATTCTCGAGATTCCGTGGGGAAAATTGTTAGCAGTGTATAAAATTTCTTTCTCTGCCTCCTCACGCCATTTGGTACTGTCAGACTCTGATTTTTGTCGTGCTAATAGGTAAGAAACCATATCTTATTGTTCTGATTTGTATTTCCTTTCACTGAGTTTCTTCTCCCATGAATTGCCTATTCATATTCCCTTTTTTTCCTACTTCGATGGTTTTTATTTCTGATTTGTAGGGTTCTCTGTTTCGTATGATGCAAAAACCTTATCCTATTTAGATTTCTCACTTTTTTGCCTTTTTTATTACCCAGTAGTGTTTTTGATATAGGAAATTATCAATTTTCTCTTAAGAAAATCCTCCCCCTATCCTGAGGTGACAAACGTATCCTTTCTTCTGTTTTAAAAGTTGTATTTTTTCATATTTAGTCAGTCAGTCCATCTTGGGAGATTTTTGTATGGATCAAGACCTAACTTTTCCCCAACATGAAAACTCTCAATTGTCCCAGTGCCTTTAATGAGTAGTCTGTTCCTTCCCTGGAAAATAACTTGCTGATAGATTTCCAGAGACAGAGTGAGTGAATGCAGCACGTAGCAAGCTCCTGTTGTCTACCGCAGTCTGGATGACCCCATAGCTAGGAGGGCATCACAAGAGGAGTCAGATGAGCAGAGTACTTTCCAGGTGCTGATCCACATCAGAAAGGAAAATAAGGGCAATTAAGTTTACATAACCTCATGAGAGTCAAGATGGCGGCGTAGGCAGACTCTGAACTCACCTCCTCCTGTGGACACAGCCAATTTACAACTACTCCTGGAAAAACTACCCCTGAGACAGAACTGAAAACTGGATAAGAGGAACTACTGCAACAACGGACAATCCTAACTGAGGTAGAAGAGGCAGAGACTCCCTTCTGGAGAGGAAAAACGCCGCCTTCACCAGCCGCAGTCCCTCACAGCTGCCCTGGAGCAGCCCATAGGTACGCAGCCCTCCCTGAAGGAGCAGGACCCTGAGCCGGGAGCACCCCCGCTGTGGGCATTTTGTGGATCCAGCACAATCGAGACGAGTGGCATAATATCTGACTTTGCCTGCTACTAAAACATTGGGGAGTACCCCCAGAAAAGCTGGTTCACAAAGAAATTAAAACCGGCTTTTAAAGGGCCGATGCGCAAACTCACCCGTTTCAGAAAACAACCTAAAATCACC